CTAACTGGGTCTTAAATTTAAAGGTCAAATATTTTTAACTGAACAACATATTATTAACAGTACTGATAAAACAGTAAGAACTGTTGTACAGTGTATTGGATTTTATCTACTTTTAATTTACTGCTCATTTTCAGTTTTTGTCTTGTCTGACGGCCAGCTGTTATGATCTCTGTGCCAGTGTCGTGATTGTGCACAAACTTTAATGTAGGCCTTTACTCAAATATTTAAAGAGATTACAACATGAAATTTGCCATACTTGTTTTTTATGACATGATCATGTTGTATTTGTCAAGGGGCATTATTGTGAAAGTTGTTCCCCTTTTCAACTTAGAATTTTTGTTAAAATTGCTTTTAAAGTAGTATTTGAAAACTATTAAAGGTATCAGCACAAAACTTGGAATGCCTGCTAAGCATGTCAAGATGCAGCTGTAAAACAAAGGGCATTATTTTTTGGAGTTATGCCCCTTTTTAACTTTTTTTTTATTGGTAATTTGATAAACAATTTTGAAAGCTATAAAAGATATTGTACTCATTCTTGGAATATTTGCTAATAAGGACAAAATACATACAAGTGAAAATAGTGGTAAACTGTGACTATAGCTCAGTAGATCTGACCAGGGCTTTAGGTTATAAAACTCTTTTATGAGTTTTGTCTTGAATCTCAGGATTTTCATTGGTCAATATACATTCTGTTCTGGTTTCTGACCAATCAAATACCAGAGATCTGAGTTTGAGCTCAGAAAAATTCTTTATAACCTTGGACGCAGGCCCTATTGTGTCATCTGTTTAATGTTAGTATCTTGATCTTGAAATCCTGTCAAAGTAGGACAAAATCATTAGGGTATAGGTTAGATAATAACAACAGTATTATATCCACTACATATAATAAACCCCAGGTTAAAGGAAACAGGAAGGTAAAAAGATTGTTCTAGCAATAGATTTTCATGATTTTACAGTTTATCAGTTTTAATGTCAAGCATCATCAGGTCTTTTTTTCTGGTGAAATTCTGTGATGAAATATAATGTTTACAACAAAAAGAAACCACTTTGATTTCAGTAAAAGTAAAAGAGTTTTCTATTGTAAATATATACTTAGCCATCTGCCTACACTGAGCATTACTAGTGTAAATACATATATATTTGTTATGTAAAGTTAGAATACTCTTTTGAATTCTGGTTAGTTATTTTTTTTATTCAGCCAAATGAATAACTTCTCTTAAGTTAAGATCTGAGTTATTAATAATAATCCATGTCTAATATTGTTTTTTTTTTACACTAATACATTATATATTTATGTATCAGTCTAAAGTACAAAATGTTTATATATATTTCTGGTGTTGCTTGCTTGTAAGAATATTAGATTTTTGTAGAGAATTCAGGGAGATATAAAGATACTACAATCCTTTATACAGCTTGTATATATTTATGGTATATCATATTACTGTATTATAGTATTATTTTCCATTATTTATTTTCTGTACTTTGTGATATATCTTATTGTTGTGTTTAGATTGTTGTAGAGTATTTTACATGTTACTTTTGTCTTCACAATATTCTTACAGTAATACTAATATTAATATTAATGAAATAAATTTGTTTAAATAAATGAAGTTTAGAATGTAAAATATTTTAATACAATATTGATGGAAGCCTATACTGTTTGTGTTGGTAATAAGTTGTTTATGTGGTTTTACTGATTTGACAGTTGTGTTGAAGATGTGATATCTTTTTTGTAAGAACAAATCTAACGGGTCTAAGTTTGTTTTAACTTGTACCAAAGTTGATGTGAAGTAATCTTTGGGGTTCACTGAAAAGTGTTAAAATAATTTTTCTTCTGTTTCAAGGTCTACTTAAAGGAGAAATTATTAAGGAAATTTATATGAACCTCTAAAAGAATTATTGAGAATCTGTAGTGATTTAAGTTTTCACCCTGAATTTCATTATTTTATTACTCCTTAAAGCACGAAAACTAATAAAAAATGTAAAATTTAGTTCCCCCCCCCCCATATTATTAAAAGGTATGAATCTTTATCTTATGAAATATTTTATAAAATTTATACAACAGTAAAATTATATTGGTTCCATTATTATATGGTTGATACCTGGAAAAGTTGTGACATAGAATGTCTGTTATTTAACGCACATGAATAATGTATGTAAACAGAATAAAATGTTCCGGAACAAAATATTATTTTGCTATTTTAAGTAGGGTTTCATCTGTTTAGCAAAGACTTTGTGCATGCGCCACTCGCTTTAAGGCAATTATAATTGCCATTTTCATTTCATACAAACATTTTGGAAGTATTCTTTTTTAGAATCCAACAATTACTTTTGCATCAGATATATGGCTTTATACACTTTAACTTATGTCCATACATCAGTTTTTCTGTTATATTACATAATTGTATCCTTCAAGTATGAAATCCAAACTGTTTTTTTTATGAAATTTTAACATGTTATGTTATTGTTTTTGACAAGTTTCATACATATTTCAAACAATAATTTTGAATTATAGAAAATATACACTTTTTCAAAGCATTTTTGTTGTTGTTTGCTTTAGAAAGAAGAACTAGTCACAAATATAGATATATTTTATAAGGTACCTTTATGAGAGGTAATGTTTTTATTAAACTATTTCAGAATTTAAACATAAACATGTATGTAACTTACATTTTGATGTTCCATAATTTTTCAGATATGTTTGATTATTTCTATGTTCTATATTTATCTGAAATATTCATGACAGTAATGTTAATGGAATGGCCTTTGTAAAACCAGGATTAAGTCAGGCCAGCCTGTATCCAGTAATGATAATGACAGGTCTGTTAAGTAGCAGTTTATAGATAGCCTGTATCCAGTAATGATAGCCAGGCCAGCCTATTATCCAGTAATGATAGCCAGGCCAGCCTATTATCCAGTAATGATAGCCAGGCCAGCCTATTATCCAGTAATGATAGCCAGGCCAGCCTATTATCCAGTAATGATAGCCAGGCCAGCCTATTATCCAAAATGACAATGAAAGACATGTGTTATACCAGAATATAGCCAGGCCAGGCTGTATCCAATAACTATAGACCTGTGTAATGCAGCCAGGTCAGTCTGCACTATTGTGAACTTAGCCCCTGCTGGAACTGAAAGAAAAGATTATCTTTGCCACCTTCATAAGGCTAGGTCAGCCTGAGCATGCCCACTTAGTCTGACCATGATCTATGCTGTTGACTGGCTATTATTAAATTTTAATATTGATTTCCCCTAATGACCAAATCCATTTATAAATTTCAGCAGTTTATGGGTTAGACTTTGCTCTTTGCCGTCTGCTCATTTTTACTTCTTAGATATTGTAATCCTTATAGAAAAATTTGGTTATACTTCAAAGTTTTTATGCACAGGCAAGGAAGAAAAATTTCAACTAGTGAAGATAATTTTCTTAAATATTATAAAAATCAATCATAAATGAAACAAATTGATGAAAAGAAAATTGGGGTCACTCTATGTTCTACTAGAAATGTCTTTTTTTAAAAAAAGGCAGGTATAGACGGTTGCTAAAATCCTGTGTTGCCATGGTTTATGATGTGTTGTCCAAATATTAAAAGAAATATCATTACACATCCTAATGTAAAATTATCCAACTATATGATATATATCGTAAAGTCAGATCTGTTTTAATAAACCTTATGTACAAACCAATATATGTTCTGTGAACATGATAAGTCCTTAGATATATGTAATGAGGTGTATTTAGTTAAATAAGGAATCTTGTTTTATTGTAAATTCTGGCAAGAGTTCCCAATGTGATTATGTTGTTAGGTTTAGACTGATCAAACTTACACATTTTTTTTCTATTTAAATAATTCATGTTTTTATGTACGAAGTGTATCTCATGGTTTTTATCTTTTTCAAAAATAAACATTGCCAAGAAGAACATATTTTTTGTTTCATCTCTTATCATGCAAATAAACCTACAGTATAACCAATATAATTTAGAAGCAAGTTTCTTCAGAAGAATCAGTTTAATTAAACAAGCATTTATTATCAATGTATTGCAAGCAATTCAAGAGTCCCCTACTGGTGTAAGCCCCACAAGAAATAATTGCCAGCTACACTCTGAAGGGGCATGGCCATTCCATTATGCCATTGTAGATGACATGAATGGACATTTGAGTTTTTACTTTGGCTGTATCATAGTAAGTAATGTAGGGGTGTCACGGTTAGAAAGAATGCTAACCATTTAAACAGTGATGTAATAACCATGATAAATGTTTAACCGACAATATTAATAAAATACTTAGGTGTTCAACATTAACTTTGTTTCTTTATGACAAGATATGCTATTTTGTTTGTATTTTTTGTACTCAAAATGATTACAATACATATCCAAATAATGGAGTAACCATTTTCCGCTATGGTTGATCGTATTTGATCAGATCGTGAAAAATACATTGTTGAGTACAACTAAAACACAAACAATTGTCATATGTTGTTATAAAAAAACTAAGGTAATAAATAGAATCAATCTAAAGCTTTTTCACACTTTGTCAAATACTAACCAGTACCAGTTTTTAGCTAAAAACCAACTGTACCACTTTAAACGGATAAACGTGACACACCTAAAGTATTATGTTAAGATTCCCTGCCTATAAAGGAAATTATGTTGAAACAACATATAATCAAAGATCAAATTTTCTTAGGATGAATATGAATAACTTGTGCCTCAACTTTGTTTAGTTAAAGCTTATTTGTTGGAAAGTACTTTAAAATTGATCTCAATATACAGTTTTTAGAGACGGACAGAAAGACAGATGGCCTGACAGACAGTCTGGCAGTTGGGAAAATAGTTGTATTATCAAGTTTACAAGTTTAGTTTACAAGTTTATTGAGTCAAAGGCTATATCAGGGTTCAGACAAATAACATAAAATAGTAGCATGACAAAATGGCATTGCAAACAATGTAAGTGGATATCATTACACAGTGTATTGAGGGTTTCAATGAAACAAGAAAGTTATTTGAAATATATATTTTATTTACAAAAGATTGCAGAATTCAATTTACAAAAGTTTGCAAAATTTAATAAATTGGAAATTGTCACTATTTATTGGTTTAGAATATTTTATAGCATTTTGGACTTATGAAAAAATGAAAAGAAAAGAAAGACTAATAAAATCTATAAAAATACATATAAAAGGGTAACAGTTTGAATTGTTTTTCAAAAACAAATTGTACATTCTGAAATTTAGTAAATAATGGAAACGCTGACACTCCATATACTGTAACATGTTGCTAGTTTTGTATGAACTTATCATTATACCTTATACATTTACTAAGAATACCAGTGTTCCTGTTCAACAGACCTAATTTATCAGATTATGAACGCAGCATGCTTAAGTCAATTCACACTGCACAACAGTAAGATAAGGGGCATTACTCTCTGAACAGGTAACTCGGAGTTATGGGATGTGTGTCCATCATGTAAGATAATTATAGAGAATACCAGCTCTGAACAGTCCAGCTATAAGTCCAGCAATAGAAATAATTCCATTGATTATACAAAATTTGACAGCAAATGCTTTTCAAACAGGTGTATAGAAAGCTGCATTTTCAACAAAGTTATGAAACTCAAGGGCCACAGAGTCAGTGTCAACTTATATGACTGACATATTATGTCTTAATATGTTCAGGCTATTTGTTTATTTGTTTGGGTTTTACATAGCACCTACCCAGTATATGTCATATGGCGACTTTCCAGCTTTACTGGTGGAGGAAGATGTCAGATACCCCTCTGTACATATTTCAGGCACAAACACTGGTACCGAGTAGAACCACCGATGTTCTGTAAGCTAGAAGTGAATAATTTTTTTTATTAAGAACATATTAAAGTGAACTGGTCCTATGGTAATGTTGATAGTATTGAGGATCATATGTGGCAAACTACAAAAGAATTATATATGTATGTTGTGAGTGTGAGATACATGATCAAATAAAACATATCTACTAGCATATATAGCAAAAAATAAATATTGATATTTATCATATACATGTATACCTTGCTCCTTTTAGTTCATGGTACATAACACTTCAAAACAAGAAGGAAAACAATGAACTTTCAGCATAAAAAATTGTCATCTGCTGTAACTGACTGAATGACTCGAAGAAATGTTACAACATTTCAATCAAAACAAGATGCACCACAATTAAACCAGGTTTTCAACGACCAAGTTTTGATGTGACAGCAATAAAAAGGTAAAAGTGCACTGAAGTTATTGAGTTAAGAAGCTGAATATTCTATTGTAAGCAAATGACCTTGACCTAGTGCTCCCAGATATCTAAGTGGCAATCCAAAGCTGCCACACAGCAAGTTTGGTGAAGCAAACTCAAGTTATAATGTAAAAACTGAATTTCTTTTTTAAGCAACAGTGACCTTGTTCACAGACATCTGGGTAGCAATCCCAAGTCGCTTCTTGATATAAGCTACCCACATACTAAATTAGGTGTCAATAGGTCTAAGCAAACTCAAGTTATTGAGCAAAAACTGAATTTCTATTTTTAGCAATCAAGTGACCTTGACCTTAATCATAGTCACCTTGGTAGTTATCCCCAGTAGCCTCTTGATATAAGCTATCCATACACCAAGTTTGGTGTCAATAGGCCAAAGTAAACTAAGTTAAGGAGGGGAAATTGAATTTCTATTTTAAGCAACATTGACCTTGATCAAAGACATCTCACTGGGTAGCAATCCCAAGTTGCCTCCTGATATAAGCTACCAACACACCAAATTTGCTGTCAATAGGTCACAACTAACTCAAGTTATTGAGCAAAAATTGAATTCTATTTTTAGCAATTAAGTGACCTTGACCTTAATCATTGTCACCTGGGTAGTTATCCGAAGTAGCCTCTTGATATAAGCTATCCATACACCAAGTTTGGTGTCAATAGGCCAAAACAAACTCGAGTTTGAGTGGAAACTAAATTTCTATTTTTAGTAACAGTGACCTTGACATTCATCACCGACACCTGGGCTAGCAATCCCATGCTGCCTTTTACTATAAGCTACCAACACACCAAGTTTGGTGTCAAAAGGCCAAAGTAAACTAAAGTTACTGAGCAAAAATCAAATGTTGACGCCTGCTAGCCCGCCTTCCAACTTCGGCATTACAATAACCAGTTTTCGTTGAAAACCTGGTTTCCCATATTTAATGGTGAAGATGTAGTCAGTAGATCATAGAAATGAGTAAAATGCAGTTCTATTTCAAGTAAAAATCTACAGATTTTAAATTTTAACACAAAAACTTTGTTGTTTAGGGGTATAACTATAATATGTCAATTTTGACCATCTCTCAACACTAGTCCTAAAACAATACATTGTGTAATTGTGTTGTTAGGGAAAAATGCTCTCCAAGAAAAGGTAGGGTTATTTTTGGGCCCTGTTTACATGGAAATGTGCCATTATTGTGAAAAAAGTGATGACACGAAATTAGTGATGTTGAGTATAATGCCTTTAGCACATCTGTCAATATTATAATAGAAATATTTTATAAGCATAATCCAATTGATACATTTCTATTGTTTTTATTAACATTTGAGATACTTATTGAAAATTTGCCCATTGTAGACCAATTCACTTTAAGATGCTGAAGCATGAAATTAGAGTACCACTAACACTGAAAGTAAGTTACAAAATATTGAATAAATTAGAAATAAAACAATGCTCATGGTTAAAGTTTTTACAACATTACAAATGTTAAATCTGCCATTGAACAGTGTGGAGTCAGTCATAATAATGAGGTTGGATTTATTCAGTTTTTACTTTGTATTGATTCTAATATATCATAAATAGTGTCTATGTTATTCTTTCTGTATGTACCGGTAGGTTTCATTTCATCCTTTTTAATTTCATACTTATAGCTGGGTAATAACATGTTGTCTATGGTTGCTTTTTGCCAGTCATGATGTATGTTCATATCCTGTAACACTCCAATATTTTCTACCACTGAGAAAAAATAGTTATTGTGGGCTCCTAAAAACCTGCAAACAAATTAATAAATATTAAGATATATTAACTATTTGATCAGATATATAGAAACATTTTTAAAACAAACACATATAATCTTGAATACAGCAATTTGTTTTAAAGTTTCAATAATAGCAGAAGGTAGTGAATTTAATATACAGTAAAACCAAGTACAATCTTTGAGAGACAAAATTATTGTTCATGTATTTGATGTGAGACATTTCTCTTAGAGAGTGTTAGTTTATTCTGAATTAAGTACTGTTGTACAAACAACAGAGGTGCATTGTATATTAATGCAATTTAGCAATAGTAGAAAACAGAAGTTTTGAAAATATTTATCATTTTATATGTGTATTATACAGGATGTCCACTCATTTCCTATCACAAAAATATAGGAATGTAATTAAAATATAGGATTTTCATGGCCTAAATATAGGAAAATATAAAAATAGAAATAAGAAGGCAACTCCTCCTCTAAGGTAGCATTTACTTTAGTCTTGACAAAATGCTCGAGTCTAAAATTTGACCTCTAAGTATGTCACTTTACTTCTGTTCAGTACTAATTGTGCATGAAGTATTGCCTCATATGCTAACTATTTTATCTTAAAATTGAACCTCATTTAAATTGGCAAATTGTCACACTATTGAACTGTCCACTAATTTGGGAGGAAAATGTGTAAGCGGTCAGTTGAACCAAGGTAAAGCAGTCAGTTGAACCAAGGTAAAGCATTCTGAGGGTCCCTGGTTTAAGCACCAGTCAGGCGGTACATTTATTTCGACATTTGGAACCCAACATCGGGCTGAAATGGTATATATCCCAAGGCACTGAGAAGGGGTCCCTGTATCCATACAATATGTGAGGGCAAATTTCAATGTAGCAGGGCCTTGTGAGTTTATGTCGAGAGGATTTTTTAAAGAAGATCTTACAATATTCATATGTTATAATTAAAACCCATAACAACAGGACAGAGCCAATATTGACCTAAGGGCTGTACATGTACAAGCTTGAGGCCCAAGAGACAAAGTTTCATGTCACATATCTAAGGCCTAGATTTGTTATTTCAAGAGTGTATCTTAAGCTTTTACTATATAAATGCATGTACAAAGAAAACCTACCAAACCTGAGAAACTTTTCATTGAAAATGTGTTTTGGGTAAATCATATACCCCAAGTGTTTAAATTGAAGAGTGTAGGCATTAGATACCTCACCTTGCCTTACAGTAAAGAGTAATCTAGAACTTTATAACCTAATGTGAGAAATACCCTCTCAAATAAAACAAGAGCCAAAACAAACAGGAGCCAAACCTTACTTTTTCATAAATTCAAATGCAAAAACACTGATAGAGGCCTTTATGAGTGAAGGTCTGTCAAAGATCAAGGTCATATTTTGAACAACTCAATTTTTAAAGTTTTGTCCTGAATGTTGTTCTGTCCAAGAATGAACCAAAAACAGCAAATTTCACAAATAAACAAGAGTGCAATATGCAGTGTTAATGTTTGTTTGTTAAAATATTTCCACTTTTGACAAACATAATCTAAGTAAAAAGGACATAACTCCAAAAATATTGCTTTCAGAAATATGCCCCTTGTGTAACAACTGCACCATGTCAAGATAATGACAATGCAGCGGTTATCATAGCTCTACTTTTTGTTCATACAGACATTAGCTAATAGGACCTTGAAGATAATTAATTTAAAGTTTAAAATTGTATTCACTTCAGGCAGTATAATATGTTGTCTAACATGTCATTTGGTGAAAATGTCAATTATATTTGTGCATTAGTTACTTAGAGAACTCAAAGAAATTTTCATATTTGTCCTTGACGGTCAAGGAAAGTTTAAAGTCAAGGTTATTCTTTATATAAAGACTTTGTCCAAAGTGTTGTTATGTCAAAATATGAATCAAATTTATGATAATTTCATTTAATAAATTGACTATAAAGGTTAGGGTCATTTATTGGTCAATGTCATACTCAAATTGCTTCACTTTGATGGTTTTATTTGTTAGTCTACATTTAAATCAAACCAGTCAATTAATAACACAATAATGGCAATTTTTGAAAAATTTAATGATTTTGGACTAACTGTCATAGTCATTTTAAGGTCCAAGTCTTAGCTTGAGAAATGTATGATAAGTGTTGGTTTGTCCAAGCAATCTTCAAATCCATTCATTAATAAATAAAAAGGTATGGCTATATTTAGAAAAACAATAACTATAGAGGTAAACAGCATTATTAAGGTTAAAGTTAAATCCAATTCTACCTGTTTAAAATTAATAATCAAAAGCTTGTTATGTCCAAGCACAAAAAAATGAAATAATTATAAATAAGTTTTGACCCATTTTATGAAAAGTTATTATTTTATTCTTACAGGTTGAGATAAATCTCAACATGACAGTGTTTAAATGTCCAATATCAATCAAATGCATTCTACTAATAACAAAAATTATGGCCAATTTTAGCAAAATTTAACAATTTGGTTAAGGGCATTTGAAGATCAAGGTCAACTTGAGTTGCTAAAGTTAATTGTGTTATTTTGTTTAGTAGTATGAATTGAACCTATCCATAATTATAGCAAAATTCATTAATTTCAAGGTCAAGGAAAACATCTGATTCTGTTTGACCATAAAGTTAATTTGAGCAGAAGTTTCATACACTAAGATGACCAAGAATCATCATGGTATTCCAGAGTACCCCCCCCCCTCCCCCACCACCACACTAATAACTCAGCCTAAAACTTTGGTTCTAGTGAGCTTAAAAGCTAGTTCATGTAAAAACCTTTAACATACCTTACATAATGATTTACTGGAAGTCTGGCTTTATTAATACCACGCGAGTTTAAAACAGCATTATAAGCATCATAATCGTTAGTATACATTTGATTCTCCAGAAGTAATACAGGAACACAATCATTGATCTCCTTAATATCATCTTTTACCCACGGAGTAAAAAACACAAGTCTGTCTTTTTTAAATTCATTGAAGATATGGCCGTCATGATATGACACAAGTGGAAAATCTTTCATTATGTTATCAAAAACAATTTTTGAGTCTTCATCACATTTTTCCACCTGACCACAGTTTGCAATATGGATTTTAAAAGACTGTACATGTCTTCTATTCATTTCCAAAGTAAGTCGTAAATCGTCTAATTTCCTAGGCATATTTTGTTCAAGATTCCTATTTGAAACTCCAAAGTCAATAACAAGATCTTGACTTAAATTGTAATTACACATATCTGTACTTATATCTTGAATATGTTGCCTATTTCTGACGCAGTTGTCATCAACAAGCAACATAGACTTGTCTGTATATCCATTCTGTTCTATTGCATTGATGTAAGATAACATTTCAACTTCTATTTCAGACATTCTTATCTCCATGACATATAAGTCTTTCTGTTCGGACAAGATATCTTTATAAAGAAGCATCCTCTGGTCTTTAGATGGTGATAGTACAATGTCTCTCCACAAGTAAGTATTCATTTCATATGGTACCTGAAATAAATAATTTAACATGTATCACACACACCTCTGGAAGTATTCTTGACATAAACCAAGTTTAAAGATCATGTGACATCAGATATCAGATCAAGACATATGAGTCGTGTCACGTCAAAACCAACATAATGGGTTTGCGACCAGCATGGATCCAGACCAGCCTGCGCATCCGGATCCATGCTGTTTTCTTACAAACCCTATTACAAGTAGAGAAACTGATAGCGAATTAACAGCATGGATCCTGATCAGACTGCGCGGAGGTCGCAAACCCATTATGTTGATTTTGATGTGACGCAGCTCATATTATTAATTATTCATTAACTTGCCAAGTAAATAATGTATTAATGTGTGTGTGTGAAAATGATGTCAAATTTACAATAATGAGTTTGCACTTATAATTATGAAATGACATATTTATCATGCCTATTTGTATATAACTGAAACAGAATGCTCCATCATGATTTTTCAACAAGAGGGACTTAATGGCCTTTATATTGCTGGCAAATTAATTCTTTTGATTGGACAATTATATGAAACAATTTATCTAAAAATGACATACTTAAATATAGTACTCTTTTGTGAATTGTCAAATACAATAGAAAACAACAAAGCAAACCTTGCAGAGCAATATGTTTGACAAGTGAGCAAGAGATGTCACAGAAAACAGCGAAGCTGGACTGAATAAAATACTGGACGCAGTAAGGAAGACAAAACTATGAAAAAAAAAAAATCAATTATGTATATAATTATGTATTAAGATATGGTAAAAAAAATAACTTTGTTCACACAAATTCCAAGATCAAGGGGAATAATTCTAGAAATAGACATGCTAGAGTTATGAACCTTGTCACACAACATGTGTGTAATGATAAGAAATATATATTTAAAGTTTTAAGTTACTGTAGATACCTTAAAAAGTAAAGAAGTTATAATATTTCTTAAAGAAAATCCTAAATTCAAAGAGAGATAAATCTGTAAATATTGCTTCAAGAGTTATGAACCTTGTCACTTAAAATGTAATTGATGATTTGAAGTTCGAGGTAGATACCTTTAAAACTAATAAGTTAAAAATAGCAAAAAAATAACATTATTCTAGTAAAAAAAACTAAGTTTATGGGGAGATAATTCTTGCAATATTGGTGCTAGAGTTATGAACCTCTTGTCACATTAATGTGGTTAATGATATGATACATATATTTGAAGTATGAAATTGATCCCTTTTGAAATAAATAAGTAACAGTAAAAAATAATATTTTTTAGGAAAATTCTAAGTTCAAGGGGAGATAAATCTGAAAATATTGATGCTAGAGTTATGAACCTTGTAACATAAGATGTGGTTGATGATAAGGAACATATATTTGAAGTATGAAGTTCATCCCTTAAGAAATAAAGAAGTAACAGTAAAATATAGTATTTTTTAAGGACAATTCTAAGTTTTAGGGGAGATAAATCTTAAAATATTGGTTCTAGGGTTATGCATCTTGTCACTTAAGATGTGGTTGATGATAAGGAATATATATTTGAAGTATGAAGTTCATCCCTTAAGAAATGATAAAGTTATAGTGAAAAATATTTTACTGCATCAAAACTTTAATCTGAAATCTGGACGCGGACGTCGACGCATGAGCCAGTAGGACAGCTCTCCATATCCTTCATATAGTTGAGCTAAAAATGATCAAAACGTTATGGGATTATCAACATACCTCATGCTCTCCAGTAGCTTTCAAAATTTCATACTCCATCTGTAAACGTTTCAAACGCTTCATTTTATTTGGGCCGAGAATGAAATGATTTTGGAAACTTCTCTTATTGTTTATTGACATCTTATACCTGTAGTAATCCGGGCTGTAGCGGGTTTTATCATACATTCTATATCTACTTGTACTGAAAAACGCACAGCTACCTCTTTTAATAAAGTCAATTACAGTGGTTCTGCAACAAGGACTTGTTACGACCTTTCCAATGGGTGGCATCATTTACAGATTCACTGAAAATAAACAATATCCTATTTTAATTTCATGTTTTTTAACTGCTGGGTATTGAACAAGAATTTGTAAAAAGTTACCAACATCCCAACCTAAGGGAAGTTTTGGTATGTGTCAATAGAAATACTTTCGAGCAATAAGCACATAGAAGAAGCATTATTAAAGCACATAAAAGAAGCAATAAGCACATAAAGGAAGATAATTTGAAAATTATTTACTTATTATCTCTCAGGTTGGATTTTACGTTGCACCCACACATAGAGGTCATATGACAACTTTCCAGCTTTACTAGTCAAGAAACACCTAGTGTGACAATCTCTGCATTATTACAGGCATGAATGGGCTCCTGAGTAGTAACTTTCAATTGGGAATTTTTTACTGTGGATTGGGAAATATTATACTATTAAAAGTCTATTTTCAATTGGGAATATGACCGAATATCAGCTATAAAATAAGTAAAAAATATCCCTGTACTTTCAAAAATTATATAGTGTATTTCTGGGACTTCATATCTACTTTAAATACTAAGAAAAAATAAAAATACATGATGTCACTTGTCTTTCTAAAAAATTTGATTATTCATCAGTAAACTATATTTTTTTTTGAAGAGGGATTAATATCAAATTATTAAAACTGATAAAAGCTTTTATCAAGGGAAATGAGAAAATATATAAAAACGACTTGACTATTATATTTGACGATGCTGTATTTTACTTTACAACAGATAATGACATCATTTGTAAAAAAAATATTTGAAAAATCAAATGACAGAAAAATATGTGAAATATAAGAAATTAAAATGATAATCCATCTTTAGTTAACCATACAAGGCCCATTTTACAAAGTGAAAAAAAGAGAAATAACTGGGAAAAATACATGGCACAGTTAAATAACATGGCAATGTCATGAACTTTGTATTGATAAGTACAAATATGTGGAAAATATGACCCAGAACATCCAACTTGCCAGTTAACCTTATCCATATTCAAAGTGCTGAAAAAGGGCAATAATTTTACTTGGGACAAATGGAAACGATAGTTATGCAACATGCCAAGATTATGTACTTTGTGTTGATTAGTGTGTAAATTATAAAGCCATTCATGATTGGTACAGGTAGAACTTATGATTTTAGACTATATGTGTTTATTACCCTTCCAGATTTTTCCGCCTTTTTGATTGGATATTGATCACCCGAAAGAAATTGATATAACCGAGCCAGACGGGTAATATAAACACTAAATTTCCCCGTTGGGTACCCAACGTTGTAAATGACATGCGCTGAGGTGATGCGCGTACGGTTCGATTTTACGAGGTGTAAATTCCGATTTACAAGCACTTTTTAACTGTCAAATGATAAATATTTACCAAAGTAGAGTAATGATACAAATTCCCATCAGTATTGAAAACAAATATGACCTTGTGAAAGCTTGATATTAATTACAAAAAAAAGTGCTTTCAATAGACTACTCCTTTTCTCTTGTTTACATTCGTTAGGTACGGGAAAAATACGTCATGTATTTATGTGACGATTCATGTTGTGATGAAGAGGTACCCTAAAGGGAATCTTATTTCGACGTTTCATTTGAAACAGCAATGATTTTTTAAAAAGTCGTCTAAACTCGGCAGGGGAAGGGTAATAAAATTATTATTTTGGTTTTGGAGTGATATATGTGGATATATTACCTGCCAAGATAAAATATATTTATATCACCCGAGCCATTAGGCGAGGGTGATATAAAATCTTAGCAGGTAATATATCCACATATATCACTCCAAAACCAAATTAACATATAATATATCTAAAATAAAATCAAATAAAAAGTAATTAAAGAAGATAGAATTCTATACCAATCAATGAAATTTTCAGCGTCAGTTCTAGTTTGGCGCCGCCATATCTAATGAAACTCAATGATAATTGGGGGGGGGGGGGATTAATAATAATAAATAATTTTCAGATTAATAATAACCATCGAGTGTCCAAGTGAAAACAGAAGCAGTGCATGAAATATAGAATGACACCTTTAAACGAAAAAATGAAAGATTTTTTTACCGACTTCCCCATTCATAGGCTTTGCCTAATTTCAATTTATTTATAAAATAACATGACTTAGACGGCTTTAACTTTAATTCATTCCATTGAAATGGGCAGTTGAGATTTATCTAGGTTATATTTCGGTTCAAACACCAATGATAAGAAATTGTATATTTGGGTATGTTTGGTTATATTTTAGTGAAAATATATAAATTATATTATATTGTATTCATAATCAAAACAGAATTTTTTAAGTATAAAATATCTATACAGTAAAAACACTGAAAACTGGGCCCTGTCCAGACTTGACCAAAAGTCTGGTTTTTAGAGGTTTTATACATTTATTGATGATTATGATGATGTGTTTGAACAATGAATTTATTCAATCATTTTGTATTTACGTTTCAACCCTTTGTCTAAGTCATTTTTAATTTCTTTTTGCAATAAATGTCTTAAGTAGTTTTATTATGTAAATCCATGAATATAATTCAGAAAATCAGAAATTAAAACAAGAAGGACATGATGGCCCTGAGTCGCTCATCTTTTTAGGGTTGGAATGTCAATATTTCCTAATATTAAATTTAAGCAAAGAATATGTTTAAACAATAATTTTAAGAAATGCCATGACCTGGGAAATTTAAGCTTTAGCTTAAAGGGAGACACAGGCAAAATTTTCATTTCTTAGTTTTGAATTTTTCATTCATTATTCTGTAAATGCCCTCGGACGCCGAAGCATCCCCCTTTGATACTAATAGCTCACACTTAGCCTTCGGCTCTGGTGAGCTAACAACACATTGTCTGAAATATATCATATTACCTTTTCATTGGCTTTGAAATATGTAATTAATGAAATTTAGTATTACTATTTTTGCATATAATTGATATCCAAACAAAGTTAACTTCAAGATCAAAATTTACAGCAAAACAGGAATCATTTAACAAAAGTCCAAACTCTTTTAGACATTTTATATTTTAAAAAATAATACATTAAAACACTTTTGAAAAATCATATCTATACAAGGAAAGACACAAATTTGATGAAAGAGCTACAATTTAATTCACAATAAGAAAATAACACACACTGACCAAAAGTGTTTTTACACCAGCATAGATAAAAGGAGATGACTAGTAACTGGCAATTGAACATGTCACCTGTTGAGATTATGTTTAGATCTACATTAAAGTACACAGAAAGTTGATACTTAAAATTGCTGTCCTGTTTTCAGAGGATTTTTTTATGCATGTTTAGCATTAGAAGCCATAGAAAATCTTCCCGTTTTCGGAATTCAGAGGCTCTGGTTTTCAGAGGAATTTTTTCAATGAACATAAAGGGAGAAAATGTGGGACTTTTAAAATGGTCTGGTTCTCATAGGATTTGGTTTTGGGTCTGGTTTTCAAAGTTAGTACTGTATTTAGTCATTTGGGCGATATTTGGGCAATATTTGGGTGTATTTGGGTATTTCCTGCTGCTTGTTTTTACCACAGGTGTTTGGCGTGTTGATTGGTCACTACAACATCCCCCCCCCCTTTTACCCACTCTACAACCCTCCTACCTCTGCAGTATTTTTTAAATTTCATTCTGAATAGGTTTTAAAATTTGATATATGCTTTTCATACCATTTACTTCATACCCCACACAAAAAGAAAGTAATAATAAAAAATGATACCTCATTCACAATAGATATAATGATCAGGATTATTGGGTCTCAGATATTCAAAATAATCAGAATCAAACTTTATTTACTTTAATACACTTATTTTATATGATATATTTATTTGCTCATTATGAAGATGTTGATTTATATGTCATGATTGTGACCCATTAATTGGAAATAAACTCTATTCTATAATATTCTATTCTATATTCTTTAACCCTTTCGATTGTTTAAATTTTGCACAAAGCACTGCTAGGCGAAGGATTATGTGCCCGAAAAGTAAATATTAAGGTCATTTGATATTGACATTTGACCTTGTGACCCCAATATAGATATGGATCTTTTATTCTATTCTATATTCTATGCTATATTCTATAACCCTTTCGATTGTTTAAATTTTGAACAAGAGCACTGCTAGGCGGAGCATTATATGCCCGAAAAGTAAATATTAAGGTCATTTGATTTTGACCTTGTGACCCCAATATAGATATGGTTCTTTTATTCGATATAGACAATCATCTGCACGCCAAATGGAACTTAAGTTATGCTCCAGAAACCACAATTTTAAGTTTAAAGATCATTGTGACCCTGACCTTTGACCTTATGACCCTTAAATCAAAAGGGGTCATGTATTGGACTGTTCATCCTATAAAATGTTACAGCTGTAGGTTGATTAATACTTAAGTTATTGAGCGAAAACTATTTTCAGTTTAAAGGTAATAGTGACCTTGACCTTTGACCTTGTGACAAAAAATTAATAAGGGTCTTCTTCTTAATATTGACAATCATCCTATGAAGTTTGAACACTGCGGGCCAAATGGAACTTATGCTCCAGAAACCACAATTTTAAGTTTAAAGATCATTGTGACCCTGACCTTTGACCCTTAAATCAATAGGGGTCATGTACTAGACACGACTGCATATATATATTTAGTAAAGGATTAAAGGTATACAACTTGCTGCTCATTTTTTAGCAAACATTTTGTTGCATACCAGGATTGTTTTTCCAGTATTTTGGGAACATGACCCATACCCATGGCAATGGGAATTTCAGCAATGTTTTGGAAAAGGAAGTGGCAAGCCGTACCAGCCGCTAGGGCTAGCTAAAAGTTCTAGCCGTATGCGAGTCATGTCTGCTAGCCAGGACAAACAGTATTGGCTAGCCGTACGGCACTTTTCAAAATTATATGGAAGTCGAAAATGCATATGTTATTTTATGAATTTTAGCAACTTTTCGAATTACAAGATAACGATAAAAGCCGATGTACTCTGATTGAAAATGGAAGCGTAGATTGGTGTCCTGCGCACTTATATAGGAACCATAATAGAAAGGGGGAACCAGAATAAACGGAAGCAGTGTATAAAATACCGAATGACAATTTTAAAACGGAAAATGTAAAATAAAAATGAACGATTATTTTAATCTATCTTACGGTAAAGGAAAATCGAGCTCGCTTTGAGGCTTTGCCTTTTTCATATTATTTTTTACAAAATGGCGGAGCATATTTATGAAAGTGAACACACAAGGAAAAATGTGGGGACTTGGTTAAAATCCTCGTTTAACATGTTTAAAGAAACAAAAAAATATATGCATTTTTAACTTTCATATAATTTTGAAAAGTGCCGTACTACTAGACAATACAGTGTGTCCTGGCAACTCGTATGTGACTCACGTACAGCTAGAACTTTTGGCTAGCCGTACAGGCCTGTACAGCTAGCCACTTCCTTTGTAAAAAATGCATGACTGAAATTTTCAGTGATTAAATGATTTTTTTGTGGGGTATGAAGGATATTGAAAAGCATATAATCAATTATCAAAACATATGTCACGTTTCAGAACAGTTCACTATTTAAGGGAGAAGATGTATAAGCAGTCGGAAGAGCAGCGGAAATGTATGCGAAGGGTCAGGTCACGTGTTTGTGTCCCGGTATCACAGGCTGCACATTTTTCTCACCCTGCAACACATATTCCAAATGAAAAATACTGCAGATTACATTGTTTTGGAAATGTAGGAGTGTTAAATAAAGAGTGGGTAAAAGAATATGTGTGTGTGTGTGTGGGGGGGGGGGGGGGGTGACCAATCCCACACCTGTGGTTTTTATTATAGAGTAATCCAAATATTTATACGGGGAAGTCAAAGACCGGCCCGCGAAGCGGGTCCGGGCTTTGGCTTGCCCGGCTATAGACTACACGTGTACATTTAAAAGAAAATCAAATAAAAAACAATTAAAAAATATACTGGTTTGGGAGATAAAGTCGGCCGAAAATCAGTGTTTTCGGGGCATATTTCATTTATTTGTTTACGTATTAAATGAATCTTGCACCATAATAAACTTCAGCTCTGCGATTTTCCGGTATCACCATAAAAGTTATATTTAGAAACATAACGGGTAATTTTGAGAGGCCCTGGAAGAGGTACGTAAAAAGGATATTTTTAACACGCGCGAGTAGATAATTCCGGCTCTTTGTTTTTCTTCTTAAATGAGTAAGTTAAAACGTAAAATAACATGTTTAGACATTTTATTATTTCTTTGCTGTTCATTTATGTCAAATAGAAAATATTTGTTTCCAAAATTGTTGAGCATTACGTTAGTATAATGAATATCTATGATAACACGATATTTATATGCAACGTACTATGTAACATATAAATCATTTTTACGTAAAAACACATGCATTATCATTTATTAACGTATAACAAAATATATAAAGAATTAGTTATTCAAATTTATTTTTGCTTTGTTTAACAGAGTGAAGAAGAAATTAATTTAGTGGTATTCAACTTACACATTAACATATAAAAGGAGCATTTAACATCAGTCTTTCAATTCACTTCCATTCCACTTAAAGATAACAGTTGTGAAATCAGCCTTTTTCTGAGTTAGCAAGACAAAAGTGAGTCTGAATTTCATCTACAAAATGTATACGTAAACGTCGTCACCTTTACCGGAAGTCGGTCAATATATAAAAGTACCCCTGTGCGGGCCTCAAAATGAGCATCTGCTGCACATGCGCACAACAATGGGATTCCCGTACTTTTTATAGGCATGTTTTGTAAACAAACAGGTAAAAGTCTGTGTTATTTTTTAAATATCTTACCAAACTTGACAGAATTTCCATATATTGTCGAATTCTAGCGATAGTATGAGATGGTGAGCTTGATTAGATTAAAAATTCCGATAACTCGATTTAATTATAAAAAGCCGAGTTTATCAACCAGCCGAAGTTATCTCCCCAACCAGTATAGAATTCTATACCTATCAATGAAATTTTCAGTGTCAGTTCTAGTCGGGCGCCGCCATTTACAATGTAACTCAATGATAATAGGCGGGGTATTCCGATATCGGAACAAATCTCAACTTTTCGGATAAATGATAATCGTCGAGTGTTCCGAGTGAAAACGGAAGCGGTGCATGTAATACCGAATGACACCTTTAAAACGGAAAGAATGAAAGGAATTTTTAACGACTTCCCCGTTCATAGGCATAGCCTAATTTCATATTACGTAACCGCGGATTTGAAGCTATTTTTTACATGGGTCAAATCCGATAAACGTCAAACTGTAAGATGTCTTTCAATGAAGGACTAATTATAGCCAATATAGGGCCGAATTGACCCTTCACCACTAATTTCTTTTATGTTTTGTCTATTGTCACGGAGGAACTGGTGAGGGGGTAACTTCTGTCATTCATTATTATCTACCTTTATCGTTATATTTTCAAAACAACATCAGCTATCAGCTTTCCCTTCTTTGAGTTGAACTGTCGAAAGAAAATAAAACTTAAAACATGGGCGCAGCCATATTGAAAAGGGAGATAAGTCCGCGGCGATAAATCAATCGGCAATAATTTCATTATCCGAAGACTGACGGAAAGGGCCGAAAAGTTGCGATTGAGATTGGGAGGATGTTCCGAATGAACGTGCTGTAAACCTTAGAAAAATCCAATTACAACAACAACCAATAGACAAAGGTTAAAATTAGTGTAACATGGTTGATATTAACTGCTTTAGAAATCGTAATTGATTAATATCATGAAAATTACTAAGCTTTTTACCATTAAAAAGAAAAGTAAGAATTAAAACTTGAAAAGAGATAATTTGGAAAGTAACTCAGACAGTAATCACTGCTAAACCCCTGAATGAAAATGAAAGTAACGTAGAAGATCAACACGTAAATTTATCACATTTTTTTAAAATATTGAACCACCAAAACTTAGTATGATTCAAAGGCTTTACGAAATTACGACGATTTACAGACAGTTTACCCCTCTGACACTTCACCCTAGGCCATTATTTTGTAGACACTTCAGTTCAGACCTCGGGCAGTTCACCCCTCTATTTAAGAATGGTGATTGAGGCACTTCACAAGTTTAAACCATTTTACAGACTGTTTTGTCCTTTTTGTAAAATGTTTTTGTAAACTGTTGAAATAAGTTTAATTAGTGGCGGCATGGCCAAGTGGTTAACGCTTGGGACTAGTAATCTAATGACCGCTAGCCGCACGGGTTCAAACGCTGTCAGGGGCAAGTCGTTGTTTCCTTGAGCAAGAAACTTTACACTCATTGCTCAGTACTGGTTGGTTCCAGGAACAGATTCGAAAGTGTGTCTATAAGCTTATAGCTTCCTGCACAATCAAACTAAAAATAAATTCTGTATAAACCAAGTTTAATTAGCTATATGACAGATGCAGACATACCTAATAGTAATACATTGAACTTCATATTATTAAAGTAACTTTAACAGTTTATTCAAATTATTGTTAACCGTAAGTAATCTGTCCATTACACTATAAACATTATACTTTTCCACATTTTTTTTTTCATTTTTAATCTCTATAAATATTCTTGGACAAAATCAAGTATGGTCTCCCTACACTAAAATTCAAATAGATCAAATTAAAAATGTCCAATGAAGAGCAGCCCGATGGATCAAGCTGGATTATGGTCAGACTTCTATCGTCACGGACATGCTTCACTCCTATATTATATACTAAGCTTCATAAACTGGAACCCAGACATATAGATGCTAGGTTATCTTTTTCTATAAGATCCATCATGGTCTGGTTGTTTACAGTCTGTACAGTGTTATTTTCCAGTCTTCTGTCCGAGGCCGGGGCTTTTGAGTTGTAAAAAGTAGCATCATAATGTTATTATTTGTTAAGATATTCCTATTCTACACTGTTGAAATTTAGCTACTAAATGGGGAATTATGTAATGTTATGTTATGTCATCTTTATGTCAACAAATTTTAAATTGGCTTCATAAGACATTTAGATATAAAATAATAAACTTGAATGTTGATTGTTATGTTGTCTCAAAGTGTTCAGGTCCTGACTAGTACATTGTATACAGTATAAACATCAACAAAATAACAAATTGTAAAAATTAAGATAATTAAACATCTATCTTATCTTTGATATAAAAAAGTATTTTGTATATATGTTACCCTTAAATTCAATAATAAGCCACGGCTTATTTAAATTTTGGTAAGAAATTTAGTGGCATATTTTCGAGGAATACCTATTTTCAAGGCCGGTATATTTTTAAGTTGAGTGTAATATGTAAACATAGATAAAGTCTGTATACAGTAGCTAGCATGTTAGCTTTCGAGGTAATGAAATAAATAAATATTCCTACATGATTCATCAGATTTATTAACCTTTAAATTGACTCCAATGAAGTTTTTTGACATGGTGGGACTGGAAATAATTTTTAAGATTAATTCTCCTAGACAAATAACTTGTGTGTAAACCTTCAGATCAACTGCTCATTCAGGTTTTTCCAGAATAATTATGTGAACTGTGAAAAATGACAAAATTTGAAAGTGTTGCAGTGCCTTTTAACTCAAATCTGGATAGGAATAGATCAAAAATAAAATTTTTAATTTATGTCTGAGGTTTATTTCTTGATTTTCATATCTTTCTGTTTTAACTGCCCAAGCTGATCTATGTAAAAATTCAAAAAAATATGTTTTAGGCTTTTGGACTTCAGTGAAGTTCTTTTATTAATCTACTAGATCTTGTAATGGATTGCCATACTATGGAAACATACTAGCAGTCAGTTCAGATTTAAGGGATTTCATTGTACCAAATAGAAAAAAGTTAGTAATACAATGTATACTCAACATCACTAATTCCGCGTCATCATTTATCTCACGGTAATGGCATATTTTCATGTGACCATTGTTATAATTGGTCAGAATTGACATATTTTATTCAAACACCTTAACAACAAAGTTTTTGTGCAAAATAATTTAAATCTATAGATTTTTATGTAAAACTGAACAACATTTTACAAACTTCTGCCAAAAACAACAATAGTCCATTAAATTTGTGCATACGTCTGAAACAATCATCATTTTCTAAATGTTCTTGTTTGTTGAAAAAATAAATTTTGAGTTACAATGTAAAAATACTTTTAATATTTAAAATTATGCAAAATAACTTAAAGAAATTTTAACTAAAACATGAAAAATCTGAAATAATACACCATTATCGCGAGGTAAATGATGACATACTGTTTTCAAAATGGCCGACACACGGTTTACATCTGACCAATTAAAACTAATTTTGATTGAATATATTGTTGTTTCCTTGTGTCATATAGCAGAAAAATGACTAAATGATACAGTTTATGACAGTTTTTGTAGTGTTAGTTTATTGTTTGTGTTCTTTATTGTTTTAAAGTGTTAAGTACCGTGAACTAAGTGGAGCACAGTATAGTATTAACTACAAAGCTATGATATATGCAGTCTGGTGGCAAAGCTTGATCACTTCTGGTTCAATTAAGTCAATCAAGTGCTTACTGATAAGAAGATTGATAAAAAAACATTCTTTTTCTTTCCAGATCATCAAGACATACTTTCGTCAAGAAGACTTTATTGAAGCCATAGACTAAAATCTACATCTTAAAACAAAATGGGATACATGATGATTTTGTGGATTATTCTTGTAACCGTAGTTACTGTATATTACTTGAACATTCCACCACCAGAACTATCCCCACGGCTCAAGACCTGGTACAAGAAAGGCAACTTTATGAAATATAAAGAATTTGATATTTTCTACATAGGTAAATCATGTTACAGCTAATTTGTACCTGCTGACTTTTTGTAATGGACTAAATGTCCAGCTTTTATTTTTGGAACAGTCCATTATCAGTTTTGTGGATATTAAGATGTAATTTAAAGTTTAGTCAGCCAACACTATAGAGCCTGGTCAGGCTGCACGTAAGTGCAGGCTGGCCTGACTTGTTACTAGTGCCAAAAACTTGTCACTGTTTGAGCAAGAGAATTGTTAATTCAATCTACCCACCTTTAGATGAGTATTATTTTGTCTCTCAAAATATATTAAAGTCCCAACTCTGTATAACTACCACAAAATGACTGCACATCTGTGAGCTATATTATCAATTTATATAAATGGTAATATTATATGTTGATGTAAATATGTATTTTCTCTTTTTCTACACAGATGAAGATGGTATTTTAACAGATGACAGCACACTGTTGTTGATTCATGGTTTCCCAACTTCAAGTCACGATTGGATAAAGGTTTGGTCAATTTCTCTAAATAGTTTATCTTAACTTTAAAAATGAAGTCTTTATAAATCCTCCCCTAAGAAACTAAAATGCCCAGAGCTAAGATATTTGGCAGGTATTTATATCTGGGATCACTTACATTTAGTTTACTCAGACTTACATAGAAAACAGACTTGAAAAAATGGTCATTGGTGACCGAACGGTTAAGTACATCAACTGTAAACGACTGTCCCCTCATGCTATGGGTTCAAATTGCACCAGGGACTTCAGACTCTTTTGTGTGAGAAAGCTATCCAGCTTGGTTACAGAACATTGATGGTTCTTCTAAGGTGTCTTTTTGTTCTGAAATAATGCATTGAAGGACACATGAGGATTCCTCGAACAGTATTGCTGGAAAGTTGCCATATGACCTTTACATAGTTGTGCCATGTAATACTCAACAAAAAAAAACAACAAATTTTGATATGTAGCACTATTTTTTTGTTCTTTAAAACGTTGTATAAAGCTTACAAAACATATATAATTTTGCTTAAGCTGGTGCTAGGGGGCGTGGACGGTAACTTATATTTTCCAGTATCATACATGAACTGACTAGATCAAACCAAGCCTTCAACATTTCAATTTTGTCATTTTAGGTGTTCTTTAGAGCATTTTTTGTCTATTTTTGTATGATGTAAAACCCAATATAAAAATCCCTGCTTTGTTGATCACATAGATTAGATAGACGTGTAATTGACTTATATAGGAAACTATATTTAAATATTTTTGTATGAAACTTCAATTGCCCATAGCTTAAGTTGTCATTTTTATGATGCCCGGTGGATCTTTTTTCACAATTTGTGGAAATCATGCTAATGGGGGCCAGAAATTGTCCCACCCTGTGGGTCAACTATTTTACATCTCCCAGAAATAAAATGATTAGAGCTTTAATATTAGGTATGTAGCACCATTTTTTAAACCTTTACAAAATCTGCTTGTGTAAAATGACAATACCAAAGGCTTAGACATGTGGGCTTGTAGTATTGCCTTGTTGACTTCTACAAAGTTACCGTAATAATTGCCCCCGGGTAAAAAAGACCCAACTGCAAGGTCACTTAGTTTGAAATTTCTCAGAATCTACAACGACCCAGGGTATTTAAAAATCAATAAGAAAGACCCAGAAAATGACAAGATCATAGCTATTAATCAGCATGTACATGTAGCTTTACTTTGTGGTCCTGCAACATAATTTATTATTAATGACATAACTTAGAACTTAGGATAGGGTATGTTTGTGTTTTCATAACCATTTGTTTTGCTTTTTCTCTCCAGATTTTGGATGATATGAAGGAACAGTACAGTAGGCATTATTTATACCTGATCATGCCTAGGCTTTGGATTCACAGATAAACCTGTAAGTATTCTGCCATCACTGTGCATGTCCTGCATGACAAAATCCTTTTACAACCATCACAATGGCAAAATGATCATGCTAAAAAACCACCACAATGCTACAACCATTAATGTTAAATTCATCACTATACTACAACAATCATCAAGCTACAACCTTCACTATGCTACAACTATCACTATGCTACAACCACCACTATGCCTACAACCATCACTATGCTACAATTATCACTATGCTACAACCATCACTATGCTAAAACCATCCACTATGCTACAACCATCAACATGCTACAACCATCACTATGCTACAACCATCACTAGGCTACAACCATCACTATGCTACAACCATCAACATGCTACAAACCATCACTATATGCTACAAACCATCACTAGGCTACAACCATCACTATGCTACAACCATCACTATGCTACAACCATCACTAGGCTACAACCATCACTATGCTACAACCATCACTATGCTACAACCATCACTATGCTACAACCATCACTATGCTACAACCATCACTATGCTTACAAACCATCACCATGCTACAACCATCACTGCAGGCTACAACCATCACCATGCTACAACCATCACCATGCTACAACCATCACCATGCTACAACCATCACCATGCTACAACCATCACCAATGCTACAACCATCACTATGCTACAACCATCACCATGCTACAACCATCACTATGCTACAACCATCACCATGCTACAACCATCACTAGGCTACAACCATCACCATGCTACAACCCATCACCATGCTACAATCCCATCACCATGCTAAACCATCACTAGGCTACAACCCATCACCTAGGCTACAACCATCACTTAGGCTACAACCATCACCATGCTACAACCATCACCATGCTACAACCATCACCATGGCTACAACAATCACCATGCTACAACCATCACTATGCTACAACCATCACCATGCTTACAACCATCACTAGGCTACAACCATCACCATGCTACAACCATCACTAGGCTACAACCATCACTAGGCTACAACCCATCACCATGCCTACAAACCATCACCATGCTACAACCATCACCATGCTTACAACCATCACTAGGCTACAACCATCACCATGCTACAACCATCACTAGGCTACAACCATCACTAGGCTACAAACCATCACCATGCTACAACCATCACCATGCTACAACCATCACCATGCTACAACCATCACCATGCTACAACCATCACTATGCTACAAACCATCACCATGCTACGAAACCATCACTAGGCTACAACCATCACCATGCTACAACCATCACCATGCTACAAACATCACCATGCTACAACCATCACTAGGCTACAACTCCATCAACTTTGTTACAACTATCACTATTATGCTACAACCATCACTATGCATACAACCAGCACTTTGTTACAACCATCACTATTGCTGCAACCTTCAACATGCTACAACCATCACTATGCTACAACCATCACCATGCTACAACCTTCACTATGCTACAACCTTCACTATTGCTACAACCATCATCATGCTACAAACCATCACTATGCTACAACCAGATCACCATGCTACAACCATCACTATGCTACAACCATCACCATGCTACAACCTTCACTATGCTACAACCATCATCATGCTACAACCATCACTATGCTACAACCATCACCATGCTACAACCATTCCCATGCTACAACCCATCACCATGCTTTACAACCATCACTATGCTACAACCATCACCAAATGCTACAACCCATTCACTAGGCTACAACCATCACCATGCTACAACCATCACCATGCTACAAACATCACCATGCTTACAACCATCACTAGGCTACAACCATCACTTTGTTACAACTATCACCTAATGCTTACAACCATCACTATGCTACAACCAGCACTTTGTTACAAACCATCACTATGCTGCAACCTTCAACATGCTACAACCATCACTATGCTACAACCATCACCATTTGCTACAACCTTCACTATGCTACAACCTTCACTATGCTACAACCATCATCATGCTACAACCATCACTATGCTACAACCATCACATGCTACAAACCATCACTATGCTACAAACCATCACCATGCTACAACCTTCACTATGCTACAAAAAAACCATCATCATGCTACAACCATCACTATGCTACAAACCATCACCATGCTACAACCAATCACTATGCTACAACCAATCACTATGCTACAACCATCACCATGCTACAAACCATCACTATGCTACAACCAGCACTTTGTTTACAACCATCACTATGCTTGCAAGCCTTTCAACATGCTACAACATCACTATGCTACAACCATCACTATGCTACAACATTCACTATGCTACCAACCATCACTATGCTACAACCATCACCATGCTTACAACCTTCACTATGCTACAACCATCATCATGCTACAACTTTCACTATGCTACAACCATCATCATGCTACAACCATCACTATGCTACAACCATCACCATGCTACAACCATCACTATGCTACACCCAATCACTATGCTACAACCATCACTTAGGCTACAACCATCACCATGTACAAACCATCATCATGCTACAACCATCACTATGCTACAACCATCACCATATGCTACAACCCATCACTTATGCTACAACCATCACTATGCTTACAACACATCACTTAGGCTACAACCATCACCATGCTACAACCATCAACATGCTTACAACCATTCACCATGCTACAAACCAACCATGGCTCACCATGCTACAACCATCACCATGCTACAACCATCAACATGCTACAACCATCACCATGCTACAACCATCAACCATGCTACA